CAGCCCTGCACCCCTCTTCCAAGAATCACCCAGGGGGTCCTCATCATCCGGCCCAACGCATCCTGACCTGAGCTTGGAGCCAACCACTGAGGAGGGGCCTGGAGACCCCTGCCACGCTGGCTCGTACGTCCAGTTCTATGATGGGAGGGATAAGTCCGCACCCCCTATTGGCCAGCCACTCTGTGGGAAGAGTCCTCCTCGACCAGTGTTGTCAACGGGCAACTTTCTAACTCTGCGACTTGTGACACGAGGAACTCAGCCAAGGGTGGACTTTGTTGGAGACTTCACTTCATTCAGGCTGGGTTCGAATGTGTTTACATCTTCCTCTCTGAAGCATAATAGAATACCAACAATCTGCTCATGTTGTTTGTCTCTCCAGGTTTTAACCAATCAGAGTGCAGAGGAGAACCTTACTTCAACTGTCGCAATGGGAAGTGTATTCCCATGAGTCTGGTTTGTGTGGATGATAAAGGCATCGACAACTGTGGCGATGGCAGTGACTTAATCGATTACCCTGGTTGCAATGGTCAGTAAAGAGTTTATTTTGAGAAGGCTTTTCCATCTGGGATTTGTTCCTGATAGATCTTGCTCTTGTTTTTGTGGGTTTCAGGTCCTCTATCTACCCCCAAGCCCCCACAGCATCATGTTACCCAACCAGCACAGATGCTGAACGTTCCCACTCGGACAGTGTCCACTTTAAAGAACTGCGCCACTTCAAATGCCATTCCTGATCCAGATTCTGTGGCCGGTTTGTTCTTCTCCAGTAGTTATTAAATGCAATAAATAATATGCAACCAAAGAGAAACAGAACAAAAATTCTGACACTCTCTTAAAAATAACAGTTCTTTATTGACATCTATGGTTCTATGAAGAACCTTTAACATCTATGGAAACTTTCCATTGAACAAAATGTTCTTTATAGTGGAAAAAGTTTCTTTAGATTATTCAAATGTTCTTCATACTAAGGAAAAAAAACATTTTAAGGTTCTTTTTACTTTGAAGAACATTTAAAAAATCTAAAGAACCTTTTCCCACTTTAGTGGGAAAGTACATTTAGGCATTGTGGTAAATTATAGATTGAAAAGTTATAGAATTTTGTGACAGCATTTTTTTTATTTCTGAATAATCTTTCAGTAAGTCAGTAGGTTCTTTCCTGTGTTGTAACATTTTGTTAAACTTCAAAAACATGTTTTACAGGCTTCTCAGAATTCTGTATGGTTAATTGCAGAAGACCAAATTAACAAAACCAAGCACATGTTACTGTCTAAGCGTTCAGTAAATCAGTTTGACATGGTTATGGGTTTGAAGTCACTAAAGCGGGAGTACAATCCACCATACTGTTTTTAAGTGCATATTTAGACCTTAAAAATGATTTTTATTTAATTTTATGATTTAGATAGATAGATGAAGAACCTGGAGTGGAAGAAGAGTTCAAATGCACAAAAACCTAAATATAATGATGACTACTCAGAACGGCAGCTCTTTTTGAGTGTCCATAAATTTGGTTTAATTGCTGTATAATGGTGAACTCTGAAAGGTTAAGAACACAAAGCTGATTGAGGAGCACATAAATGCTCATTGCAAACAGTGAGCTGTAAATCAGCTGCTCGTTGAAACTTCTCAACTTCTCCAAATTTGATCTAAATTGCTTTTAAAAATCCACAGGTGTTCGAACAAAGGCAGGGACAGATTTCACAAAGAAAGCTTTAGTTAACCTGACAGTATAAGGAGTATCATATCATATTTTACTGTATAAAATGATGTAATGAAATCATTTGGTTGCCAAAGGAAACAATAAGCCACATTTTCATTAATAAAATATAAATATTATATGAAAAACCTAAATGAAAATTAGAAATGTTGCTATGGCAACTAGGCTAAATGAAATAAAATAAGGTAAAATTGAAGTAATGGGGTAAACTAGCTACTAAAACTTAGGTTAACAGAAATATTTACAATAATGTAAATAATAATAAAAAAAATCACAATTATCACAATTAACTGAACAATTATCACAATTTACTTAATGCATATAGTTTATTAGATATGGCCTACTCGGTATTATTAGATGAACCTTAAAATGCAGATAAAGATGAATTAATTACCAAACTAACTTACTAGTAATATAAAGCTAGGATAATAAACTATATATTATTCCTTGGTTATTTATTCAGATACCTATTATTTAACAAATTTATATATTTATTAAATAATGTATCTTTTATAATATTGCTATTGCTGCTGACTTAATCATGCTAAAGATACTATAATACACACTCTGTCATGGCTTATTGAATTTAAAAGTCTTAAAAGACACCTGAATACCAGATTTGTGTTTGTTTCATAATTTATTCCGTAACTGTCATTATTACTGAATATATTTAAATTTCACTAGGAATTGTAGGTCCTAGTCCTTTAATGAAATCCTTTCTTCTCTAGATTCCCAGCCTTCCGTTTCTCTGCTGGCGCTGTATGTGGTTCTGGGTGTGACTGTAGTAGGGGTTCTCATGTGCTGGTGCTGTTGGGCCCCTGGCTGGTTCCTGTGGCGCGTGAGTGTGTTTCGCTTCTTGCCCTGCTGCAACTCCTGCTGCGCGTCCTGCCAGCTGTGTGGACGGAGCTGCTCGCAAAACAAGGAGCACCGACTGGCAAAGGTTACACCGGAAGGAGCCGCAACACCTGTGTCGTCTATCACCACGGTGGCTGTGTAAATACCCTCCTCTGATCTCTCCCAGATCCTTAAAAGACTCAGAATGCAGATGCTGAGGACAGTATGCTAGGAAGTGGTATAGTAGCTGAAGTGTTCCTTTTTCATTTTTTACAATGAAAAAGGAGCAAGAATTGCTGGGCAGTGGAGTGTTTTTCACTGATATTTTTTTGTTTTCCAAAATTATAGAATATAATTCAACAAAATCTGCTATTTTTATTTTTTAAACTGAATTTGTTATATGTATTTCATAGATACTGGATCTGGGGAAACAACATGAGCTGAGATTTCTAGATTCTAGTTGGTTTTGCGAAGTGAAAACTTCAAGAATTCCACTCTATATTACCTCAGTGGGATACTCCCAGCTACAAAGGACTGGGGAAAAAAATGTGTCATTATTAAAAGTTTCCATTAAAATGCTCACAAAGCTACCAAAACTATTGGACCACATTTTAAAAACTGAGTAGATTCAAGGTTATGCCAAAAAAGTGGTAATACTCTGTAAGCTTTGTTCTGAAAAGTGTTTCCTTAAAAAACAAATCTTGCCTTTTCATTGACATAAAAGCTCAGAAACCTAAATGACTGATAACACTGTTTAAGAAAATGTGATGTGCAAAATAACTACTGTAATTTACATTAAAAAAAACCTTAAAATCATGCCTATTTTTTTTTAGGTAGAGCTAGTAAATATGATTAGAGGAACTACAAAGTGGACATTTGTTTATTAATCTGATGCAAAAAATTATTTAAAGGAATAGTTCTCCTAAAAAAGAAAATTTGCTGAAAATTTACTCATCCTTAGCCATCCAAGATGTAGATAAGTTTGTTTCTTCATCAGAACACATTTCCATCACTTGCTCACCAGTGGATCCTCTGCAGTGAATGGGTGCCGTCAGAATGAGAGTCCAAACAGCTGATAAAGTTGATCAACTTAGTCTGTAAATCAGCCAAAACAAGATTAATAAACATGCTGAATATAATACAGATATGCTAATGGTCAGTTTCTTCTTTACAGTTTTCCCCTTGATGACTAAAGGCACTGAAATCAGAAAGTACTCAAATACAAGTAAGAAACTTAACTTAAGAGGATGAGTTATTCAATGCAGCACATTCATTAGAAACTCAAAGGCACTGAAAATTGATGCAACTCAATTTTTTATATCTTTGTCTCACACAGAAATGTTTTTCTTTATTGCTGTGGTTGCATCTGGTGGAGGAATTGTACTGACTGGACTCGTGGGCATCTGTTTGTACAGATATACACGTAAGTGTAAAAAAATGGAAAACAACAACTATGTCTTCCATATGACTTATAGTTTTAACATCCTAATTGAAAAGTTAAATGTTCAGCTTGACAGTTTGATGTTTCTTTCGTCGCAGAAAAGTCAAAGGCAGAAAGGTGAGGAAGTATCTGAGTATATTTTGAGTACATATATGAAATCATTAATGGAATAGTTCACCTAAAAATGTAGCATTCCATAACTTGCTCACCAATGGATTCTCTGCAGTGAATGGGTGCCGTCAGAATGAGAGTCCAAACAGCTGATAAAAACAGCACAATAATCCACAAGTAATCCACACGACTCCAGTACATCAATTGACATCTTGTGAAGTTAAAACCGTGTATTTGTAAGAAACAAATCCATCATTAAGGTGATTTAAATTGAAACCATTGCTTCTGGCCAAAATATGAGACTATAATCCATAATAATAATCTATAATGCTTCCTCCAGTGAAAAAGTCCATCCACTGTTGTCCTCTCAAATCAAAATCCACCCACATATATGCTTAGAACTGCTTTAGACTGTTTTTGCCTGTAAATAGTGTTTGATTTGTGCATATTTCATGATTCGGACTAGATGACGTTGTCAATGCAGAAAGCAATATCATATGGGACACATACTGTACTTTAGCCAGAAGCAATGGTTTGAAGTTAAAAACGTCTTAATTATGGATTTGTTTATTACAAACATATCTTTTCACTTCACAACATGAAGTGAAGATTTAAAAAGATGTTAATTGATGGACTGGAGTGGTGTGGATTACTTGTGGATTATTGTGATGTTTTTATCAGCTGTTTGGACTTTCATTCTGACAGCACCCATTCACTGCAGAGGATCCATTGGTGAGCAAGTGATGGAATGCTAAATGTCCCCAAATCTGTTCCAGATTGAATGTACTGAGCGTGAGTAAATTGTCAGCAAATGTAAATTTTTGGGTGAACTACTCCTTTAAAATGAAATGTTAAATAATAAAGAATGAAAATGTGCACAACTTATATTTGTGAAATCGACTAGGATTTGGATCGAATTCAGCAGCAAAAAACAGAAACAGGGTAAGTTTTTACCAAAATGTAAGCCATTTCTTACTCAAAACATAAATAGAGGCCAAGGTTTGCTGAAATGTCAATCTGTACTGTAGGACTTTCTTTACCAATGGCCAGTTCAGACTCAGTAAGTATTATCAGTTTACATTTGTTAGAATGGCTAATTGGATCTTTTTAATATTTCACACTGTTTAATATATCACTCTTTGTTATTTAGTCTGGAGAGGAAGATACAGTGCTTTACACAACCATCAACTTCATACAACCCCCCTCTCAACCACCAGGTAAAGAGTAAAACAAGTCCCCTTTATATTATGTTACCTTCATTTTGTCAGTTCTCTCAAAAAGTTAAACTGATAAAACTATATCTACATCATATCTTATAGTCTAAAGTCTATCAGTCTATCATGGCCAGTATTTGACATTGGATGTGTCATGTTATGCAGGAAACAATGACGAATCAATGCAAAATGAGGTGAGTAAATCAGCTGGTCACACATGCACATGCAGTTATTTATCTTCATTTTAAGATTAAATTTTCCTCCAGGTTGAACTGAATCATTTGTATTACACCGTCCTCACCAAACCAGCCATCTCCAGTGACAGCAGGAGTGTTTACAGTCAGCTGAAGGTCCACTGAAAGAATACAACTCTGCCTGCTACTGTTTTAATGCAGGCCAGAATTGATGAATCTTAATTTTAAACAGGCTTTAATCCTCCATAGCAAATGCCTTTTATTGTAAATGCTAAACTTCTGCTTTCTAATTTCAGTGTCTTAACGCCTTTCAAAACTGTGTCATAAACTTCTGTCTGATTTCGGTTTACTTGTATTTTCTGTAGATTCACATGAACAGAATAACCACATCAGAAGGCACACAGCATGAATATGCATACTTTTAAGCAATGATAATTACATAACAATTGTTATACCGTGTTATTGTGAATGGCAGTTGTATAGACGAACACAAGGACAGTCATATATTGAAGACTAGAGTAATGGCTGCTGAAAATCCCACTTTGCCAACACAGGAATAAAATATATTCAAATAGAAAACTGTTATTTTAAATTGGTATAATATATTCAGTAATATGTTTTTACTGTATTTGTGATCAAATAAATGCAGCCTCAGTGAGCAAGAGAGACTTCTTTCAAAAACATTTAAAAAAGCTTACCAAGCCCAATCTTTTGAATGGTGTACATTAAGAAGTTTAATGAAAACCAGACACGGAGAAACCTGCAGCAATTCAGGTATTAAAAGACTGCAATACAGGTATCCAATTACTGTGTACAGTAGGCGTCAGATGACAACACCCTCTGCTGTCTAAAACATGGATTCACAGTCATATATTCAGCATGATGGCAGTCTTCTCATTAAAGGCAGGGTAAGTGATTTCTGGTAGCCAATGTTGATATTTGAAATCACCAAAACAAATACGCCCCTACCCCAAAAGGGTCTTGCCCCTATTTTGATAGCTCCGCCCCACATATATGTACGCAACCCAGGCAACGATTAGTTCTGTGAAACAAAGCAAAACCAATGTTACACCGTGTCTACGGACGTGAGCGGCGCGGCATAACAAATCCCCGACAGAAAACTGCTGCCGGGTTCTATTTATGACGTGCTGACACAAATTTCAAATGGTTTTCAACGGTCGTTTGTTCGCGTCCAGTGTAGGCAGACTTTAGCTGTTGTAGACACGGTGTTACTCACCTATTGAGAAGAAACAAAGCAACCTCGGCATCCGATCGCAGGCCTCCGCTCCTTGAGTTCTCTCCAGCGCTGGAAAGCTGATCCGATATTTACACGGGTTCTACTTCTTGCCTTATCGTTCCGCAGATGTTTTCCTCTTTTGTTTTTATCTGCCATCTCTATCTTTCTGTCGCTCGGCTCGGCTAATGTCCGTCTCGTGCACTGAACGCTCTCTCCTCCACATCACGAGTAGACAAGCCCCTTATTGATGATTGGCTACAAGTTTGTTTTGCTATTCGGCCGAATCAGTTTTCTAAAGTGTTTTTGAAAAATGACACCCTACCTTTAACACAAGTTTTACCACTTATGCATTATGGTACATTGAGTTATAGCCCATATATAGGTTATGTAATGGGTCCTTTAAAATCGGAATCAATTAAAAGCTTTACAGGTATATGAAAAAAAGTATTATGGGCTCACAATAACAAATGGCTACATTTGGCCTTTTTAGTTAAAATGTTCTATTGTGGTGTTCTAATTTTTATTTCATTAAAAAAAAGCTCAACATTTTTAAATCACTGTTTTCAAGTTTTTAAATAAATGACTGAAAAAAGATCTTAAATAGTTCAAGCTATTATTAAACCGCAGATGTCTGGAGTTCCATCTCTGCTCAACCACAATGGTGTGCTGTGGCTTTGAAAGACATTATCACTTCAGACAAACACAAACTAATGTCATATGTTTCATTTTATAGAGACAAATCGTGGCATTTGTTTTACAGGTTTCCTTTCATTATTTCCTACTTCCTCATATATGTATTGTTGTGGTGTGTCTGTATGTCAGTTCATCACTCTTTCATGTGACACTGACATGGTGCTGCTCATCCTCCTCATCTTTACACTCTTTCTGGAGGTTCAACCTCAAAGTGACAACTTACTTTTTTTTTTTTTTTTTTTAAATAAAATGCTAAATTTCATATTAAGTGTCTGTTCTCCTCTGCTCTAGGATAGTATGCATATTTTTGTCTTCAGTATTTTTGTCACAGGTGCTGATTTTAGGTACTACCAATATGGTAACACTTTATAATAAGTATACACTAATTAAGTACTAACAAATCATTTGTAAACTATTAGTTTATAATAGATTACAAACATGCAGCTTTTCCCTTCACAGGACATTAATTGATGGACTGGAGTGGTGTGGATTACTTGTGGATTATTGTGATGTTTTTATCAGCTGTTTGGACTTTCATTCTGACTAAATATCAGACAATTTTTTTAATTGGCCTGGAAAAATCATTCAGAAATCTGTCCAAATATGTTTCTAATAATCCAATAATCGAACAATCATGAATGACTGGGAAGATCATGGAAAGGTTGTGGAAAATCATTAATTAAAAAGTGGTGAATCCTGAATATATCAACGAAAGAGACAGTTTGGACCAATAATCTTTCTCTACCCAGCTATTTTTAAAAAACAGAAACCAAGCAATTAAAATGTCTTGTTGTTTTTGGTCTCTACTGTGTTTTTATTTCTTTCTTTCTTCCTTAGATCTTCTGTATTCTTGAAACAGACTGAGTTGAGCTGAACTGTGAGAATACTGAAGATCTGAAGATGGAGATGTGTTACTTCAGCATAAATGGAGAAGAAAGTAACTCAAAAGTGAGCTCATCATGTCAGCTCTCACTCACTGGATCTCAGATCAGTGTTTGGTCTGGAGGTCAGAGTTCATCTGTGAGAATAAGCTGCTTCTACACTGGGAATTTGTCACAAGTTCAAACACCATCTGCTCACTCTGATCCAGTGACAGTAACAGTGCAGAGTGAGTTTTTAATAATGCAAACCAATATAAAGGTGCTGCCAAGTTATAACATCACTAGTATGTTAAATATGGTATTTTTTTTGTATTTGAAGGACATGTACCTTCTTTGTTTTAAAATGTGCAAATAATGTAAATTGTCTCGCTGCAATTCTGACAGTTTGTCTCTGCAGTTTCAACATCAACCACCACTGAACAAAATACAACAACAGCCATGAAAACCTGTGAGTAAATGATTTTGTAAATCAAAAATGCTTTAGTCTTACTCCACCTTGAATGTCCTCAAAACGACAGTCATTCAAGCTCACTTGTTAAATATTTACTGTAATGTACACCACTGCACATTTCTCAATGTATTTTTCTACTTCTGAAACCACAAATTACAGTATGTTATTTTTGTAGACGTCCAATCTAAAAGACAAACCTGCCAACTAGCAAGGCAAAGGACATCATAAATAAGATCATATTGTTCAATGGTGAATGTAATGGTAAAAAAAAAATATATATATATAGCTGGGATTCACTTACAAAGTGTATTTGGTAAGCGCAGTAGCACTTGGAACCACATTTATTCAATCAAATGAGACAAAATTTTTTGCTTTTTAAAATTTTTACACACACACACACACACACACACACACACACACACACGCACAGGTTTGTTTTTATGGTTTATGGGGACTCTCCAACTGTATATTCTATTGCCCTACACCAACCCTACCCCTAAACCTACCCCTCACAGGAAACTTTCTGCATTTTTAGATTCTCATAAAACTAATCCTGAATTATTTATAAGCCTTTTGAATTACAGGGACACTGAAAATGTCCTCATAAATCACCTTCTCGTTGTAATACCTATGTAATACCCATGTTAATATACAAATTTGTGCCCTCATAAACCACATAAACATGCACACACACACACACACACACCTTGGTGTGGACAATGCATAGACTTCCTTTCATTTTCTGTCAGGTTAATTATGTTTTCTGTCACCTAACCCAACACCTACCCTTAAACTTACCCATCACAGAAACGTGTGCAGAACATTAGATTTACATAAAAACACACTTTGGCTGATCTAGAAGCCTTTTTAACTAGTGAGGTAAAATGTCCTCACTATAGTGGGTTGTCAAAGTGAGGACATTGTGACACTGGACCACAAAACCAGTCACACACATTCCAATGCACAATGCTTATTTAATGTTACAATACAAACAAACAAATAAAATAAAATTAAAAAATTTGATCATTGACTCTTTCCTCCACTTTCCAGTTATCTGCTTATCATGGCTATTGCTACAATGATTAGTTTAGATAAATAAGTATGCCAGTCTGTTAAAACAATCTCCACGTTAAATACAACTTAAGATGTTCTTACTGCAGTTTCAACAGCAACGTCCACTACGTCTTCTATTTACAACAGTAAAACTTGATACATTTTCTCAGAAACAAATCACTAGTTTGAATTTGTCCGTGTGATAGTGTCAACAGCGACCTCTATTGGTAAACCTTTGACAACAACCACACAAACAAGAGAGTAACATTACATCTCAATACCTTTTAGCATTTTTGATATTGTTATGTTATTGTATGTTATATTGACATTAATAGAAGTACTAAGTAGAATTTTATTTCCAAACTAAATGAACACTGTTACATTGTTGAATCCTATTTTACGTCTTAATCATGACCTCTACTGGTGAAGCTTTGACAGCAGACAAAAACTTGAGTGAAAGTTGTATTTAAAATAAAACATACTCGACGAGCACACAGAGGCGTTTTTCTCATTTCACTAAACCGCTTCAGTGTAAAAATCACATCTCACTCTGACACACTGTTGAATCTATCAGCTGTTTTCACAGCAGCCTCTACTCTGCCTGATTCCACCAGAGAGACAGAAACATGTAAGAATATTTTTACTTTGCTTACGAGATAATATTAAATCTGTGTTAATTGTTAAATAAAAAAATAACCCTTTTCTGAACAGTGATATAATCTAGATAGAAACACTGATGTCTGTAATACAGTAGTAGCTGTTTTCTTTCAAATCAAAGCGTAAATACACGTAGAAAACGTATCCTTGTGGCACGGCTGACACAGAAGAGCGTAAGCTGCTTGCATTCAGTGGTTATTCTCCAAAATGGTGCTACGGTGATGCGGACAGACATAGAGGGGCCGAATTGTTCAATAAAGTCATTATTTTTGTTTTCTTCGCGTACAAAAAGTATTTTCATCGCTTCATAACGTTACGGTTGAACCACTGATGGCAGATGGACTATTCTGACGATGCTTTTCATACTTTTCTGGACCTTGACAGTGTAATTTACTTGGCAGTCAATGGGACAGTCACAAGCCTCCCGGTTTTCATCCAAAATATCTTAAATTGTGTTCCGAAGGCGAACGAAGCTTTTACGGATTTGGAACGACATGGGGGTAAGTGA